GGGGGGCGTGGGGGTGGCGGGGCGCGTGCCAGCCTGTGTGTGCCACCGGGCTGTTCTGCTCTCCTGCGGCTGCGATTGGTTTCCGGCTCCCCTGGGGCGCCCGGCTGGGGAGGAGGCAGCTGGGGCTGGGGTCTCCACCTTGGGCTTGGGGGAGGGTGGGGGGACCAGGGAGGCAGACAGATTTGGGGTAGAACGAAGGCACGGCGGGAAGTGGAAGCCCAGAGGGGTGGGTGACACCCTGACCGCGCCTGGTGCCTGGCACGGACGGAGCCTCCGAGAAACAGGCGGGGACCTGAGGGGCCGCTTGGGGGGCAGGCAGGGCTCAGAAGCAGACGGGAGTCCAGAATGAGAGGAAGGAGCTGGGAGGCTGACAAGGGACAACCTAGAGGTAGGTGGGCGAGGGTGGGGTGCAGCCATGACCTGTGTGCAGGGGAGCGAGCTGGCAGCCCGGCCGGGTGGAGCAGGCTGGGGTCTGGAGGGCCCAGGCCTCCTGCCTGCCACCGGCTGGCACAGGCCGCCCTCTCCCTCGACACCTGGGAGGGAAGGCCAGGGAGCGCCCCACGGACCGAGGAGGCTGTTGCCTGGCCCTCAGCCACGGATGGTAGGTAGGAGAAGCCAGCCTTGGGCTCACGCTTGCTCACACCCCTCCCCCAGCCAAGGGTGCTGCATGAGGGGCCGCAGGGGCGACCGCATGACCATCAACATCCAGGAGCACATGGCCATCAACGTGTGCCCCGGGCCCATCCGGCCCATCCGCCAGATCTCTGACTACTTCCCCCGCCGGGGACCAGGACCTGAAGGGGGCGGCGGGGTCTACGGGGAGGCCCCTCCTCGGCTGGCCCCCCTGGCTCTGGCCCCCCCTGCGGCCCTCCTAGGGGCCACCACGCCTGAGGACGGAGCCGAGGTGGACAGCTATGACTCGGATGACACCAGTGAGTCTGGGGGCTTGAAGGCCCCAGGGCGTGATGGGGGCCTCCAGGCTCCGCTGGGTGTGCGAGGGGGGAGGGGAGAGGGTGGCGGGGACTGCCGCCACAGCTGCAGTCAGTGTGGTGATTACAGCTTCAGCAAGGCTCAATATTCAATATTTCTGCTGAGACACTCCACCACCCACACAGCCCCAGTAGCGGCCGAGCCAGGGACCCAGCCGCGCACACGCACATGCCCGTTCCGCCTCTTGCACACACTCGCGGGCTGGCAGACGGAGACACGCGCAGCCGGCGCCTGCCCGCTGGTCTCTCACACACACCTGTCTCCACACACTGACTCACATCGCCTTTGCTTTCTCTCCAGCCGCCCTGGGCATGCTGGAGTTTGACCTTCTCTATGACCAGGCCTCCTGCACTCTGCACTGTAGTATCCTCAGGGCCAAGGTGGGCATTCCCTGCCTCCCAAGCCCTGGCCCAGTTTGCCTCCTGCCCCTGGGAGGGGTGTGCTTCCGTCCTCTCTTCCCTTCCCCAGGCCTGCTTACTCCCTCCCCGCTCCAGCGCCCTCCTTCTGGGGTCTCCACACCTCAAGAGTCCAGCCCTGCAGAGGGAGGGAGAAAGGAGCTGGGAGCCCATAGCCATCTCCCCTGCCCTCCTCTTCAGGGCCTCAAGCCCATGGATTTCAATGGCCTTGCTGACCCCTATGTCAAACTGCACCTGCTGCCCGGAGCCTGCAAGGTAACAGGCTCTTGTCGCCCCTGGCCTGGTCCCGCTGGTCGGTCTGTTTTAGGTTTCCCCAGCCCCTGCCTTCAGCCTCTGTGGGTCTAGGGGACATGTATCCAGAACTTTTTGTCCCCACAACCCAGGCTAATAAACTAAAAACGAAGACTCAGAGGAACACACTGAATCCGGTGTGGAACGAGGACCTGACATACAGCGGCATCACGGATGATGACATCACTCACAAGGTGCTCAGGTGAGGACTCACCTGCCCTATCAAGGATTCTGGCCAGCTGTCTTCTCTGGAACAGCTATCATTGTAACCTTCTTTGGTTGGTTGGTTTGGGCTTATGTCCCATTAAGCCCCTACCTCTCCGATGTTCAAGAACAACCCGTGGCTCTCCATCCCCTTCAGCAGCAGGCCAAAATAGTTCCCTGGCATTCCTGCCTCCAAAATATCTCCTACTGCTCCTTGAACAGAGGACTATCTTCTTCCAGCTGGTCAGTTTCATAACTCCCTGAACTTCGCCTGTTGTATTTGCCTCTTATACCTGGAAGCACCCTCTGCTTCCTCTCTGCCGGCCTAAATTCCACTGACCTGAGGCTCAGTCCAAGCTCTGCCTCCCCCTGGGAGTCAAGTCCCCTTCTCAGAGCCTCTCACTGAAGTCAGCTCTATGCAGCTCAGTTAGGCCTGTCCCTGAGTTCCCCCAAATTGTCTACGGAGTGAAGTCTTCAGGGACTGGTGACTTGCTCCCTCATCCCAGGAGATGGAGATGCGGGAAGCATGTTCCCTCAAGGGTAAACCCAGGCTCAGGAGGCACCGTTTTCTTTGTTCTTGGGCAAAAGGGAGTCATGGGAAGGTTTGCATCAGGGACCCTTCCCTGATGGTCAGGGTCATGCTTGAAAGAGACCACCTTGGTGTTTTGTGTGGGGGTAGACAGGAGGGGAGGCCAGAGGCAGAATCTAGAAAGGCTGGCACAGTATTTCGGGTGTGAGAATGAGGCCTAAAAGTAACTCTCTAGTGCCAGCCCTAAGCATCTTCCATTTTCTCTTTCACTTGACTATCCTCATTTTACAAATGGGAATGGAAGCTTAGGGAGATTAAGTGACTTGCCCAAGGTCACCCAAGCAAGCCACCTTAAGTGTCAGGGCTAGGATTTGTATGCTTTACGTACCATAGCAGGTCACAGCAGAAGCAGCGCAGGGGCTGAAGAAGGAGACAAGTGGAAGTCAAAGCAGTCATCTCTTCATTGCTGGGCTCGTGTCCCTGCTAGGCGGGCTTCCTGGGGTCCTTGTCTGGCTGCCCATGGCTCCTTAAGCCCGTTCCAGCTCTTACAGCCTCCCTCTGTGGCCACAATCCACTGAAATGTGCCCTGTGGTGTTCAGCTCTTGCCTCTAGGCCCTCAGTGGAGGCAATGAACAGGGTGGTCCCAGGATTTTCGAGGGCTTCTCACAGTGGCTGAGCAGATTCTGATGGACCAGGGGCAACCTGGGCAGCTGGAAAGGGAGGAGCCAGAGGAACAGGGCAAATCTACCTGTCCTTCTCAAGCTCCAGCCCGTTTTCCAGATGAGGTGGAGAGCATTTGGGGCAGAGCTGGAATTGGTCTGAAGACTTCTCCCACATTGGAGCAGGGCTCGGGTGCCCCAGGGGCCCTGACCCTGCAGTTCCTCGCCAGGATTGCTGTCTGTGACGAGGACAAACTGAGCCACAACGAGTTTATTGGTGAGATCCGAGTGCCCCTCCGCCGCCTCAAGCCTTCACAGAAGAAACATTTTAACATCTGCCTCGAGCGCCAGGTCCCGGTTCGTGTGGGGGGCTGCAGGGGTGCCAGGCGGAGGGGGCCTGGGGAGGCCAGGTTTCCAGAACCTTCTTTTTGCCCCCCTAGCTGGCTTCACCCTCTTCCATGTCAGCAGCGCTGAGGGGCATCTCCTGTTACCTGAAGGAGGTGAGGCACCTCACAGGGACTGTCTGGGCAGGAGGTGGTGAGACCCAGGCCAACCCCTGCGTCTGTCCCCTGCAGCTGGAGCAGGCGGAGCAGGGCCCTGGGCTGCTGGAAGAGCGTGGCCGCATCCTGCTGAGTCTCAGCTACAGCTCTCGGCGTCGGGGGCTGCTGGTGGGCATCGTTCGCTGTGCCCACCTGGCTGCCATGGACGTCAATGGCTACTCCGACCCCTACGTTAAGACGTGAGCCCTCACCCTGAGCCCACTCTCCCTCCCGGGGAGCCTGGCCCCTGCCCCATGTTCCTTTGGGACTTGGCCTGCCCCTAACCGCACAGCTCCCCTCCCCCATCCCATCCCCAGGTACCTGAGACCAGATGTCGATAAGAAATCCAAGCATAAGACGTGTGTGAAGAAGAAGACTCTAAACCCAGAATTTAATGAGGTGAACAGGCAGGGATCGGAAATGGAGGTGGACTGGGGGCAGGGGTGGGAAAGAGGGCCTCATGGAGAGTGTGGCTGGCCTTGTCCCCAGGAATTTTTCTACGAGATGGAGCTCTCCACTCTGGCCACCAAGACTCTGGAAGTCACCGTCTGGGACTATGACATCGGCAAATCCAACGACTTCATTGGTGAGGGAAGAGCTGGCGTGGCACTGGGGGAGGGCAACTGGCAGGAAGATAGACCCTGACACTGCCTGCTTCAACAGGTGGCGTGTCCCTGGGGCCGGGTGCCCGTGGAGAGGCCCGGAAGCACTGGTGTGACTGTCTGCAGCAGCCAGACACAGCCCTGGAGCGCTGGCACACCCTGACCAGCGAGCTGCCCCCAGCAGCCGGGACTTTGCCCTCGGCCTGAGCAGAGGATGGCTGCCCAGCATAGGCCCTTTGGGCCGGGTCCAGTACCCAACCTTCGCACGAGTGTGTTGCACGTTTACACGGGGCGGGAAGCCCCCGCCCCGCACTACCTGTCTTATTTTTGTGAGAGTCTCCGTGACCGTGGGTCTGTCTTCTTGTGAGGGACTGTGGAGATCTATATTCACATATGCAAACTTCCTCCTGCCTGACTTGCTGTCACCTGCAGATATGCAAACCACCCACTTTCTGCACACCCGCGGGGACTGTCAGAGCCCCCTCCCAAGGCCCCCACGCTCCTCTCCTGCCTCCCCACGCTGCCCCGTCCCCCTGCCCCCACAGGGAGGAGGTCGGATTAGGGGAGGTTCAGAGGAGGAGAATGTTTCCAAAAAAGGACAAAAAACCCCAGAGCCACTCCTTTAAGACAGAATCTCCATTTAAAAAAACCTAGCCCTGTACAGCTGCCCTCTTAAAGGGGTGGCCGCCACAGGGCCTCTGCCTCCCCAAGAGGTGGCAGATGCTCCCGGCCGCTCATTTAAATAACTCTTCCCTAGGTGGGGCCGGATCTGAAGGCAGGGCCCCTGCCACCTTCCTAGGGGACACTTGTGCATGTTTACGCCTTTTCTGATTGTGTCAGTGGCCGAAGCATGGCAACTGGGCATCAATAAATATCTCTGAGGAAGCCGGGCGCACGTGTACTGGCACAGGAAGGGGGGTGCTGGGCAGACGCAGCGGGTGGTCACTCCGGGATGTCGATCACTAGGTCATCGTCCCCGTCCAGAGCATCATCCCCGCTGCCTGCATCGCTGAACATCTGCCGAGGGACGGTGCTCAGGATCGTGGGGGGAGGCATCTTGGGGGGTGGAAGGGGGGTCAGGGCTGCCCCGACCCCAGCCCCAGAACCCCGGCCAGGGAAGGTCAGCGGCCCTCCCACAGGGCAGTCAGGGGGTCCCACCGCCATCTGCAGCAAGGGGAAGAAACACAGGGAGGGCTGATCAGGGAGGCACTGGAACCTCCGGGAGGCCGGGCACTGCCCCAGGGTAGCTCTGGGGGAGGGGGAAGGGGCAGTGGGCACAGCTGGGCCAGACAATGCTGGAATCAGGGACCTGCCCATCTCAGCCTCCTCAGAATCTCAAGCCAGCAAGTCCGGGAGTGAGGGGTGATGATGGAGGTGAGATGAGGGGGTTGGAGGGTGCCTTGCAGGAAACTCGGAGGGAAAGGCTGGGCTCCGCCTCTCCAGGGAGGCACCTCGGCTGCCCTGGAACAGCGTTAAAGCCAGAGGAGGAATCAGCCTTGAGTGCCTGCCTGTCTCTGGGGACTGCAGATACCACCTGCCACCACTGGCTTCCTCTCCCTCCTCCTATGCGGGACTCATCAGTTCAGTGGAGGGTATATAGGCTACCTGGGCCAGGAGCCCAGAAAGCTGCTATTACATCTTGGACGGGCCCCTCTTTGGGATCCCCGCCACTGGCCTAGGTCAAGCCCTCCTCTCAGCTCACCTGTGCTATGGTACCAGCCTCCTAACTGGACTCCCTGCCTTCAGCCTCTCCCAGATCCAGCTCCTCCTCCACACTGCAGCCAGAGTCATCTCTCTAAAACACAAACCTGAGCATGTCATTCCTCGGGGGCCCTCAGGCTCCAAACTGCCCTAGGGACAGGCAGTGCAGTGTGCCTGACAACAGGCTGGTCCATCCATCCGGGCACTCTTCTCTATTTGTCAGAAGTCCTGCTTTGTCCTCTGAGACCAAGAACTGGCCTCCGTCCCACCCAACCCTCCAGGCCCTCACAGATTCACAGATTCTCCTCAGAGAGTTCTGTGGGTCTCTGTTACAGCACCCATGCTTTGCCTGAGGGCAAAAGCTGAGCACCTACTATGTGCCAGGTGAACTTTGTTAGTGATTCCAATCCTTAGGATATCCTGGGAGGGAGGAGAGGTCACATGCCTGCAGAGGAGACTGAGACTTGGAAATGGAGGTCTTAGGAAACAAGTTTGTTGGGTCCCTGCTGGATAGTATCCAGTGCAGCCCTGGCTGGCAGGAAACACTTATGTGTGGCCTTCTCAGTGGCCCTTCTGCTTGCTGTGCCGCATTTGGCCCACCCTCACCTCTGTTCCTGGGGTGATCAGAGTGGGACAGGCCTTAGGGTACAGGAGTCTGGCAGGACTGATGACAGACAGGGGACCCAGCTGTGATCAGCACCCTTGCACCCAGTACCAGGCATCCACATATACACATGGGAGCAGACGAAGTTGCATCACTGAGAAGGACGGCTGCATGAGGACTATCCCCGCCTCTGGCCACCACCTCTCCATCCCCACCCTATGCCTCATGCCCTACCCTTGCCTGGACTTCTCAGTGGCCTCCTCAGCATGACTGACAGCAGCTAACGTTTTCCCGTGGCTTACTAGGGACCAGGCGTGGCGCTAAATGTTTTCTATCCCCTAACTCATTTTCTCCTCACAATAACTCCACTGAACAGAGAAAAAAACTGAGGCTGAAAGAGTTAAAGATATGCTCAAGATCACTTGGTGAGTTCGTGGGAACAGCTGGAATTCAAACCCAGGCAAGTCTGACTTGGGCCAAGCTCTTCACCGCCCTGCTTCAGTCTTCACTGCCATCCTACATCTGCTCAGACTTGCTACCTCCTGTTTCTTCACACCAAGTCACCCAGACACTTCAGGGACTTCCACTCCAAACTCCGGTTTTTGGGCAGCCAGGCCTTCTAGAATCCAGACCTATTTTTCTTTCCAATGTTGTTCTCTCAGCGCTCCTGCTCCAGCCCAAGCAATACTTTTACCATGCCCATCTCCCTTTCCACTGCCTGAAATATCCAAATCTCACTCACCCTGGGCCCAAATGTTTTCTGAGAGCTTCCCGATGATTCCCTCCCCCAGGCACAGTCATCGACTTGGGCCCTCTCCCCACTCCTGTTTCTCTCCTCTATGTCCAGAACACGTTCCTTGACACTGTTCTACTTCAGGACCCAGCTCCAACCGGAAGACCTCACACGGGCCCTGCTCACGTGATGCCCACACCTCCACCCAACTGCTCTGGGCTCCGTGGATCTCTGCTTTTCCACCACCCAGCCCTCCAGGCCAAAAGCAAAACCCTGCTAACAGGAACAAGGGTCAGTATTGTCATCCATTTCTCAGGCTCAAGAGGCGAAGTCACACAGGGAGTAAATGGCAGAGGTGGGATTCGAATTCTAGAACCATCTGACTTACACAAACACAGTCTCCGTTTGCTTCTGGCCCCAGAACCTTGAGAAACACCTGACTGGTCCCTCCTCAACTCTGATTCAGCTCTGGAAGGGCACTATAGCTTTCTGCATCCTCAGTTTCTCATCGTTCTGAGAGGCTCAGGGCATAGCCCTCTTCTCTGCCCACATTCCCACTGACACTCACATGCACCTCCATGTTGACGATTTCCAAATGTTCAGGGGGGAGGTCCCTCGAATCCCAGGCTCACGTATCCAGTTGTCTTGTTTGGTATTTCTAGATGGCATCTCAACATGTCCATGACCAAACTCATCTTCTCTCCAAAACCTGCTCCTCCCACAGCCCTCCCATCCCAGAAAAGGGCAACTCCACTCTGCAGCCCTGGAGTCCTTGCCTCTTTCCTCTCACAGCCCACACCTGGTCTTCCAGGAACTCCTGCAGCTCATTTTTTGAAAACGATCCACAGTCCACTTTTTACCCTCTCCACAGCCATTTGGCTGAGTGTAGGAGCCTCTCAGAGGCCATCCCAGACCCTTCACCCAGTCTATTCTTCACACAGGAGAGTAGGCAATTTGTTAACGTGTAAACTCGAGCAGATTTCCCTTCTGCTCAACCTTCTCCAGTGGCTCCCATTTCATTCACAGCACAGGCCCAGAGCTTTCTAATGCCTCTGAGGCCTACACAGTCCTGCCCCTCAGTTACTTACTATTTGTCTCTGACTGCTGCCCCGTGTCACTTTCCTCCCACCATATACCACCTTCCAGATCCTTGAATAAGTCCAGCATGCACCCTCCTCAGGGCCTTTGTGCTGGCTGCTGCTTCCCAAAACCATCCTCCACTGAAACACTTTTCCCAGAGAGCCACATGGCTTGCTCTCATTTCCTTTAAATCTCTGATCAAATAACATCCCAGACTGCCTGACCTTAAAATGTCAGCCCCATCCCCCTGGGGGTGCCCATCCTCTTAGATGAACTCTTCTCCACCAGGACTTATTTAACATACTTATTTTTTGCCTATCTCATTAGAATGTGAGCTCCATGAGGGCAGGGATTTGTGTCTGTGTTACTCACTACTGTATTGGCAGCAACTAGAACGGTGCCTGGTATATAGTAGGTGCTCGGTACACACCTGTTGATCGCATCTAGCTTAACCACTTACTGTACAGATGCTGAATCTAGGAGACCTAGAGGGTCAAAGAGACCTGCTCAAGGTCACATGGTTTTTAATTGGGACAGTCGTTACTTGATGTGAGATCCCACAATTCTGAGCCCTCTCTGGGGCTGCCTGGCATCACAGAACACTCCCACCTGTGAAACAAGCCTCACCCCTGGCCATGATGCAGTGGTGTAATGGCAGAACCCCAGGGATCCTCATTCTGAGTCCCCCAAGGCTGGTTCTGCCCCTGATTTGTCTCCACAGCAAGCCTGTGAGCCAGGACTTCTCTGATCTGCCCCTCAGTGCCTAGAGTTGCACTGGGGTCCCAGGAGTCCCAAATCAGTCGTTCAAAGTTCTTGGACAGGCCCCCAGCCCATCTTGAGCCTCCCTCAGATGCCTGTCCTCCTGCTGTTCTGGCCCCTCCCTAGTGTCCCCAAATCAGGGTACCTTGAGTTTCCGGGGCAGGCGGGGCCGTTTCTCCCGCTTGGGCCTCAGGGGGCTGGGCTCGGGCAGCTGCAGGGCCAGGTAGTCAGAAGGGAATGGGGTGTAGGGGGGGGAAGCCAGCTGCAGGTGGGAGTGGGGGGATGGAGATGGGAAATGGAATGGATCAGGATGAGGGTGAAGAGAAGAAATGCAAACAGAAGGAAGGATGGAAAAACAAAAGAGATGGTGATGAGTGTGGCTCCCAGGGCTCCCGAGCACAGAAGGGGAGGGGACAGCAGCAGGACTTTGTCCTGGAGTCTGCCTCCTCAGTCATGTCTGTCCCCAGTCCTACCAGAGAGAAGTGGGCAGCCCCAGCTCACACCCTCCAACAAACACTTGCTGGCCACACCCAAACAGATGTCCCCAGAGTCGGGTCAGCCCCAGAGTTGAGGCCTAGCCCTTTTGCCCAAATGATGCCCGCCTTATTCCCAGTCATCTTGGCTCACCACTTCCCACCCTTGGCCCCAACTCACCGAGCTCAGGTACGGGGAGGGGGCCCCGGAGGCCTGAAGGGGAAACCCTGTTGAAGGAGGCAGGGAGAGGCTGGAGGGAGAGGGGGCACCTCCCAGCGGAGGGCTTCTCTTCCTGAAGAAAGGACAGGGGAGGGGGTCAGAGGCAGCGAGGAGGCCAAGGGGCCCAATCCCGTCCCCACCCCCTAGAGAAGGGAATGCTGTCTTCTTCTCACCTCTTTGGGGCTGGTGTGTCCGACAACTTGGGTGTTCCCTCTGTCTCGCTGTTATCTGAAGATGCAGTGGCATCTGAGTCTGTGAGGGGGGATGGCTGGTCAGTAGGAGTTGGGGAGAGTCTACCTGTGAGGGGTGTAAACCTCAACACTACAGAAGGGCTCTGGGGGAATCTGACTCCCTATTTGTACACACGTATGTGTGCTCTTCTGGGGTGGTCTACAGCTTCCCCAGCCTACTTCCTGCTCTGTTTCCTCCAGAACACACAGCCACGCATAGACTATGTGCTGGGTTCCTCCACACTCACTTCTCTTTGTCTTCACAGCCAAATAAGGGGGAAGATAAGAATATCAGCTCTACTTAGGAGATGAGGTCACTGAGGCTCAGAAAGTAAGATGTGGAGCTAGCACTTGAACTCAGGTCTGTGATCCCTCCCTTTGACCACTTTATGCCCCTCTCTCCTGATTTGCCTCTACGCTGTCTTCAGCTCCTGCCTCTGCCCCACTCCTCGTATCCAAGGTCCTGCTAATCTACCCCTCTTTCTTACATTCACTGCTTCCCATTCCAACTGCCACAAGGTCAGGTCATCACCCTGACAAAAGCACTTGTTAAGCACTAAACCAACCCATTCACTGTCCACCCCAATGCCAGAATGACCTAAAACATGAACCTGGTCACTTCCTTCCTGGTGACATCTCCCACTGCCTGCTTGAATTGGTAGTACTTAAACTGGCAGCAATCGGCCTTTCTGGTCTCCCAATAAAACTTTACTCTTTTTTTTGAGTCTGAGTCTCGCTGTCACCCAGGCTGGAGTGCAGTGGTATGCTCATGACCACCACAGACTCAACCCGCTGGGCTCGGGTGATCCTTCCACGTCAGCCTCCCAAGTAGCTGGGATTACAGACGTGTGCCAGTATGCCCAGCTAATTTTATTTATTGTAGAAACGAGGTCTCGTCAAGTTGCCCAGGCTGGTCTCAAACCCCTGGGCTCAGGCAATCCTCTCGCATCCACCTCCCAAAGTGCTGGTATTACAGGATGAGCCACCGTGGCTGGTCTAAAGTTTACTCTTTATATCACACCAACCTATGTCCTCAAAAGAGAAACTTATTTCGTGGTAGCGCACACCTGTTGTTCCAGCTACTTGGAAGGCTGAGGTGCAAGGACTGCCTGAGCCCAGCAGATCAAGGCTGCGGTGGCCCTGAGTGTGTCACTGCACTCCAGCCTGGGTGACAAAGTGAGACTCCCAACTCAAAAAAAAAAAAAAGAGAGAAACTTATTTCCTAGTTCAGTGCTTCTGCCTATAAGGTCCATCTTTCACTTAACAAATAATTGCTACATATTATATAAACTGTTCCCAAATTCTCTGCTCAGGCCTTTTTTTTTTTTGAGTTGGAGTCTCACTCTATCGCCCAGACTGCAGTGCAGTGGCCGCTCCCGGCCACTGCAGCCTCCACCTGCTGGGCGCCGGCGATCCTTCCACCTCAGCTTTCCGAGTAGCCGGAATTACAGGCATGTGCTACCATGCCCGGCTGTTTTTTTTTTGTTATTTATTGTAGAGATGAGGGCTCGCCAAGTTGCCCAGGCGGGTCTCGAACCCGCGGGCTCAAGCAATCCACTCACCTCAGCCTCCTAAAGCATGGGATTACAGGCTGAGCCACCGAGCCCAGCTTGCTCAGGCCTTTTAAGCAGATTAAATGCCACCTCCTCTGAGAAGTCTACCAGAACCCCTCAGACCCAGGTCTTTGCTGGCTTTCCCAGAATCCTTTACTCCCACTTGTCCTGGCTTGCCTCACAGTGTACTGAGAAGTGCTGTGTAACTGTCCCCCTGACCACACTGTGGGCTGCTCCTGGATGTGAGTGGTAGCTTATATCTCTGGTTCTTGCTCCTCATATTTAACCCACTCTAACCACAAACTGCTGGGTTCTCTCACGCCTTCTTTCCTCAAGTGCCCCTCAAACAGGAAGTTAACAGGAAGACCTTGGGGAAAGGAGAGGTAGAGAATGAGAAGCTAGAATAAAAGCCAAACTTTCTACCATGACCTACCTGAGCTGGCCAGGCTACTTTTCTAACCATATCTACAATCCTCCTGTAATAGTAAATGAGCAGGTATCACGTGTTCCAACAAAACATTATTTACAAAAACATGGCTGGCTGCTATTTGCTAAGCCCTGCCCAGACCAATGTTTAAAGACACCGTGGAGACACTGGGCTCGGTAGCTCAGCCTGTAATCCCGTGCCTTTGGGAGACTGAGGTGAGTGAATTGCCTGAGCCCGCGGGTTCGAGACCCGCCTGGGCAGCTAGACCTCATCTCTACAATAAATAAAAAAAATCAGTTGGGTGTGGTGGCGCATGCCTGTAATTCCAGCTACTCGGAAGGCTGAGGTGGAAGGATCGCCGGAGCCCAGCAGGCCGAGGCTGCGGTGGCTGGGAGCGGCCACTGCACTCCAGTCTGGGCGACAGAGTGAGACTCCAACTCAAAAAAAAAAAAAAGACACTGTGGAGAAAGGTGATTCTATGAGTTGGCTTATGAAAACCTCACCTAGAAACAGGCTCACAAATGCCCATCTCAGGGGTTTTCCAAACTGTGCATCTTCATGCATTAGTAGGTCATGAAATCAATTTATTGGTTTGCAACCAGCATAAAAAGGAGAGAAAAAAAGCAGTCTAGGCCAGGCTCGGTGGCTCAGCCTGTAATTCCAGCACTTTGGGAGGCTGAGGTGAGTAGATTGCCTGAGCCTGCGGGTTTGAGACCCGCCTGGGCAACTTGGCGAGACCTCATCTCTACAATAAATCAAAAATTAGCTGGACATGGTAGCGCGTGCCTGTAGTTCCAGCTACTTGGAAGGCTGAGGCGGAAGGATCGCCGGAGCCCAGCAGGTCGAGGCTGCAGTGGCCAGGAGCGGCCACTGCACTCCCGTCTAAGTGACAGAGTGAGACTCCAACTCAAAAATAAAAAAAAAGAAAAGAAAAAAGCACTCTAAAAAATAATAGAATTGGATACAGTGATCCTATAAAACATTTCATTACATTTTGTAAGTAAGTAAGTATGTGGGACCCTAGTCATGATGTGAAATAGAGTTGTAAACAACACTCCAAAAAGAGTCTGGAAAACAGTGCTCTACAGGCCTATCCCTCTGCTCTTCAATCAAGCTTGTCTTCTTCCCTAGGTTTCAGCTCAAACATTATTCCTTGAAAGGCCTTTTTATTTATTTATTTTTGAGTTGGAGCCGCACTCTGTTGCCTAGGCTGGAAGTGCAATGGCACACTCATGGCCACCACAGGCTCGACCTGCTGGGCTCAGGCAAGCCTTCTACTTCAGCTTTCCAAGTAGCCGAAACCACAGGCATGCGCCACCACACCCAGCTTTTTAAAAAATTTATTGTAGAGATGAGGTCTCACCAAGTTGCCCCAGGCTGGTCTCGAACCCCTCAGCTAAGGCAATCCTCTTTCCTCAGCCTACCAAAGTGCTAGGATTAGAGGCTTGAGCCACTGTGCCTGCCCTGAAAGACCTTTCTTGAGTACTCTGTACAGAGGTTACCTGCCACCTGCTTTTTATGTGTGGTCTACAATCTAAGATTGGCTTTTATGTTTTTAAATAGATGATAAAAGTTTATATGAAAATGATACAAAATTTAAATTTCAGTGTCTATAAATAAAGTTTTAACCAAACACAGCTGTACTCATTCACTTACATATGGGCTAGGCTGCTTTCACACTACAATAGCAGAGTTCAGTAACTGCTATAAAGACTGCATATTTCAGGAAGCTTAAAATATTTATGATATGGCCCTTTGCAGAAAAAATTTGTCAACCCAGTGCTACTACAATCACTACTACATAATTCTGTCTTAATTCCCTTCAAGTCCTTACTGTTACCTACAGCTCTAGTTTACTTCTTCATTTTCTTATTCTCCCCAACTAGAATAGAAATACAAGAGGCCAAGAGCTTTGTCCGTCTTTGCTACAGCTGTATCCCCTGTGCCAAGCACAGTGCCTGAAACACAGGAGGTGCCCGATACTTGAATGGAAAGAATGGTAGAGATGGAAAGAATGGTAGAGATGGAAGGCAAGCAACCAGGCTCAATGAACCACTGGAGGCTGCATCAGCCACCACAGCCTAAAAGGAGGAGCCCAGAAAGCTTGCTGAAGTGCAAGAAGCCATGTCCTCCACCATTTTTCATGACTTTGCTCACCTGAAGAGTCTTCATCCACGTTCTCGTACTGCAGCAGTCGGTCTAGGAGGAAACTGGGGAAAGAGGTGGGGAGAACAAGCGTGTTTATTCTCATCAGCAATGTACTCTTGGGCCCTTGTCCCTTCTAGCTGGCCCGCTGGAGCCTCTAAAGAGCCCATGCATTTAAGGCCCTATTCCAGGATGGGTCCCGAATGTAGACCCCCAGAAGGCACATCGCCCTCAGTCCCCGCAACACGCCTCACCTCTTGTCCCGGGACACCTTCAACAGTTTCCTCTGCGCCTTCCTCAGTTCCTCCTGGAAGCACTCGTGTTCCTGTATCACGGGCAAGGTAGGCGCTGAGGCTACGGCCATCCCCATCCCCCTTACACATGGGTAAACTGAGATCTTATTAGCGCCGGGCCTCACTCCCACAACCTTCCCACATCAGCACTCACGTAGATGAGGAACTTGAGCTTCCGCTTCAGATTCCGGTATTTCTTTTTGTAGTCCACTTCCCCGTCCGCCGGCCCGTTCATGACCGGCCCGGGAGCGGTGCCCTAGCGTCCGGAGTCCCGCTACCCCGAGCCGGCTCAGTCCGGCCTCTCACACCTCCACTTCCGGAGTCTGGGCAAGGCTGTGCCCCAGAACTGCAACTCCCGACGCACCCCGCGCCCAGGCAGCGTGACCGCACGCACCGCCCCCCCTGGGAAATACCGGCAAGAGAACGCGGCTTCGAGTGGCTACGCTGGGAATGGCGTGGCAGCCACGCGGTGACGTCACAAAGATGGCGGGCGCGAGAGGGCGCCGTTCCGATTCCAAAAGTGCTTAGAGATTTGAAGCTATAAAACGATTCCTCGCAGAGATTCCTAGTTTCCAGGCGAGGATGCTTTTTTTCTTCTGTCTTTCGATATAAGAGCGGCCTGGCTGGTGCCCGTGACCACGGAGGAAGGCAGCGTCACGGGTGGATTACGTTACACCTAAAGGCTGCCGGCGTCGAATCGGTTTCTAACGAGAACCTTAAAAACGACCCGTTCCAAGAAAGGGTAGGAGCCGCGAGACCCTCTAACGGCCCAGGGTAAACAGCTTTTGTCTGGCACGGTTCTCGGCCCAAGAGGCCCGCAGCCTAGGGCCAGCGGTCCCGCGCCCCACAGTGCCACACACTGCGCGTGCGCAAGCCGTTGTCAGATGCGCTGACGGGGGCCGGGAAGAAAAAGAGGCGCGAGTCGCCAGTCCTGCATAGAGCAAAATGGCGCGGGAGAAGGAGATGCGGGAGTTCACCCGTAGCTTCTTCCGACATCGCCCAGACCTTAGGTGCACAGGGGGTTGGAGATGGGGTTGGAAAGGGCAGGGGGTGGGACGAAGACCCCGTCTTGACAGCCTGTCTCCGCAGCACGCTCACGCACTCCATCGTGCGGCGGAGGTTCTTGGCTCGCTCGGGCCGCGACCACCTGGAACCTGAGGAGAAGCAGACGCTGAAGCGGCTAGTGGAGGAGGAGCTGCTGAAGATGCAGGTGTGGGTCACGGAAGCGGGGCTTGTTGCCGAGGAGGAGGGTACTGAGAGGGGTGGGGCAGAACGCAAACTCGGTGCATGTTTTGCCCTCTCGGTGCACACACAGGTGGATGAAGCCGGTACCAAGGGAGAGAAGCCAGGCCTTACCAAGAAGGTGAAGAGACTTTCCACCCCTTGCAGTGATCCGGAGAGAAAAAGATTACGCTTCAATTCAGAGTCAGGTTAGTGCATCCTCCTTTTTGGTGCCTTCTGCATCGTTGATTCATCCAGAAAGTATTGTGCATGTCCTATGTCTCAAGATGAGGGCGCTTAGGCAAGTGAGTCAGGAACCAGGAAAAGCAAGGGCTTATAGTTGTTTCCTGCTGCCCTTCCCTCTGTCAGGGCAGGGCTAGAAGCAACGTATCCCAAGTGGAGGGAGAAGAGACAGGAGGAACCCGGTTCAACTCTCTTCTCCCCATATTTCAGAGCCCAGCTCTGCAGCCTCCAGCCCAGACCCCTCTAGACCCCCAGCAACGAATGGGATGGCAGCAGCAGAAGTCAGCCCAGCCAAGGAGGAGAGTCCGAGGCAAGCCTCAGAGAAAGCAGCAGAGAACAGCAGTGAAGAATGGCAGAGGGACCTGACTGCAAAAATGGGGTTAGAGGAGAGTAGCCAGGGGGAGAGGGGTTCTGTCAGAACAAGTAAGACCTGGAAGGAAGAGGGCAGTGAGGAAGAGGAAGACAAGGAGGAAAAGGAGTACAAGGGCAGGATTAGGAAGAAACCTGTGACCAGGAACAAGCTGGCACCAGGCAATGCCTCAGTCAGTAAGAAGCAGGCCAGGGAAGAAAGTGAGGATAGTGAGGAAGAACATGCCCAGAAGACAGCAGAGAAGGTGGAGGGACATAAAGGAGCTAAGAGTCACCGGGAAAGTGAACAGGAGGAGGAGGAGAACCTAGCCAAGAAGAAAGAAAACAGAGGAGAAAAAGGGGAGGAGGAGGAGCAGCGGGAGAGGGGGGAGGAGGGAGAGGATTGGAAACCCAGAGCTGGGAGCAACGGAGGGAAAAGGTCAGCTTGGGAGGAGAGAAGCTGCAAGCAGCAAAGCAGGACAAGGAGGCTAATGGGAAACTCAGGGGACAGTGGGGGAGAGAAGAAAAAAGAGGAAGGCAGTGGGGCTAACACTCGGAGAGATGAAGACCCTCTAGTGCAGAGGAAGTGCAAGGACAAGACCCAGTGCAAGGGTGGGAAAAGGCGGAGTGGAAGCAGTGAGGACGGGGAAGACAGCTGGAAGGTGCAACCAACAGCTAAAGGCACTAAAAAGGTAGCCAAACTGGGCAGTAGCAGTGAAGAGAGTGACTCAGAAAGGGAGGTGAGTGACAGCGAGGCAAAAGGGAATCCCAAGGGGGAGAGGAAGAACCGCTCTTCCAAGAAGACCTCCAGGAAAGGCAGGACACGGAGCTCCTCTTCTTCCTCAGATGGAAGTCCAGAGCCCAAAGGAGGGAAGGTGAAGGTAAAGCTGGGGTGGGAGGCCACCATTAGGGAAGAGGGAGACTGTGACACAGGCCTGCCAGGCTTGACCTTCAGCTGTTTTGTGTTGCTAGACTGGCTCGGGTCGCCGTGGAGAGGACCACCCAGCTGTGATGAGGCTAAAGCGTTACATTCGGGCCTGCGGTGCCCATAGAAACTACAAGAAGCTGCTAGGCTCCTGTCACTCACACAAGGAACGCCTGAGTGTCCTCCGGGCAGAACTGGAAGCCCTAGGCATGAAGGGTGAGGCCAGGTGTGCCCTGGGGGCTGCAGCAGAGGGCCTTGCTGCTGGGGAGGAGAGGATCATGAGCCTCTTCTGCCACAGGTAACCCTTCCTTAGAGAAGTGTCGGGCCCTGAAGGAGCAGCGGGAAGAGGCAGCTGAGGTAGCCTCCTTGGATATTGCCAACATCATCAGCAATTCAGGTAAGGGATTTCCTTTTACTGCCCAGGAGATGGGTAGGGTGGGACTTTCTCAAGTTAATCTCAATTAGTGTTTCCCCATCCTACCCAGGCCGGCCACGCAGACGCACAGCCTGGAACCCTTTAGAAGTAGCCCCCCCAGGGGAGATATACCGAAGGACACTAGACTCAGAGGAAGAACGCCCCCGCCCTGCACCTCCAGACTGGTCACATATGCGTGGAATCATCAGCAGTGATGGCGAGAGTAATTGAGCTCTCCCACTTCCAGAAGGGACTATTTCTACCTGTACAGAGCATCCCTTACTCTGCCTGCACAGCAGCAGCTTTCTTCAGAGAAGACTGGAGCCCTCAAAAACACAAGTTGTTGGGATACTGCTTCTCAGCTTCATGTTCTCTGTGTTTACAGGGGTTTATTTTTTAGGACTCAATAAAGGAGTGTTTATAATCGCATCAAAACTGGTTCCCTGCTCTCACCCCCTGTACTTGGGCCAGGAAACAGGTGTAGCTACCGTCCCCCACATCTATCCTTAGTCTGGTTTCCTTTAATTTTCCCTAGGTTCCCCCAAAGCAGTCCCAGCCTCCTGACCTTGCCATCCAAAGTCTTGCTGCAGGCCCCATCAGAGAAGGGTGTGGCTTCTATCCTTTTTCCTCCAGCCTGAACAGTGGGCCCCTCTGATCACCCTGCTTTTAGCTGGGTCTCACAACCTAATGCCTAACTGGGAGGAGAATCTGAATAATTGCCTTTAAGAATGTCAAGCACAAAATCACTCAGGCAGCTGCTGGTGTTTGTCTTGCTTCTGTCTTGCTTCTCCCTTCTGGAAACAGTCACTCCAGGAGCTGACTCTTTCAGCCTTAAAGGGGTGGGTAAAGGACCTATATTTGAGTGACTAATCAGAGCACTCCAGGTCTCTGGCCACAGATCCAGCCAATGAGGTCACTTCAGGTCTCTGCTGGAACTCTTGGTTTTGAGGGATGCTAGTAACAGTAAGCTTGGAGCTGCTAGGGGTCTGTGTGTGAAGTGAACCTTTCAAGAATCTTTGAAGCCAAAGCAAAAGAAAGCAGAGGTTGATGACCTCCTTTGAAGCCCTGGATATCATTACAATCACTGAAATTTTTAGTTACACACCCGATACTCTTAAAATACAGGTAATACTATCACTTGCCACTGAACTGTCCTCCATACACACCTTAAACAGAAAGGGTGAGTCCTGAGGTCTGTTAGAATAACCAACAGTTTATTAAAAGCTTGCCCTGGAGCTCTGTGCCAGCCCCATAGCCGAGAGGGGCTCCCATGACTGCCCCCAGGTGCGGGAGCAGCCCCTTTCAAGGTCTTGCCCTTGTTCCCCCGCCCCAGCCCTGATCCCAATTTAAAAAAGAAAAAAAAAAAAAAAAAAAAGGACAATACAGCACAGGACGTCAGACAGCAACGGGAATGGAGGGACCCAGCCATTCTGACCCCAGACCCCATCCTGATCCTTCTTTCCAAGGAAGGTGGCCTCCCATTCTCCCTGCCTCAGGTCCCAACCTGCTCTGCCACATCCCAGGTCTGGGAGTCCCATCGTTCCAGTCCATGGCCCCACTGTGAGGGTAGTATAGTTCTCTTAATATATCTAGACCCACCCTTTCCCTCCCCCAGGGGACTAGATGAATATTTGACACGCACATCTCCCTCCTTTCCCAGGTAGTGATGGAGGAAGACCCTGGCACCATGGTAGGGAGGCAGGGGCTCCTGGTCAGCCTTGTGGCACCTATGCCCAAGCTGGACCCAGGCCACTGGCCAGCCCCAAGAAGCTCATGAGATGAGGAGGTCTGAAGGGAACTGGAGCCAACATCCTGTCCCTTACCCTTGGGTGGGCCTCAAGCTTACAGCCCTCCAGGATCAGGCTCCACCCACCCCTGCCCCATTCATCTGCTTATTCACCAGCACTTCAGGAGTAGAAGTGGGAAGAACCGTTGAGGATGTGGGAAGCAACACTGGTGCTGCGGCTCAGAGGCCCGGGCACTGCGGCAGCAGGTGGGCCCACATTCTCACTGCCACTGCCCCCTGAGGCTGCCCGCCGCAGGGGCTGGGGGCTGTTTCTTAGCAGCAGCAGAGCTCCACCACGGGGTGTTCCACTCTGTGTTGAGGGCCCCAGCCAGTTTGGAGGACCTGGAGGAGCCAGCAGAGATGGCTGACGCCAGGCTGGGGGAGGCATGCCTGGTGGAGGAGGGCCGTGGCTCCAGTGTGCCCCTGAACGGGGAACAGGACGGGAGGGCCAGGCAGGGGCAGGAGGTGGTGCTGGATAGCCCTGGGCAGCAGCCTCGGCTGGGATGCCCCCCAGTGCCATGCTGGAGAAGCCTAGCCTCATGCTCTCAGCATCAAAGGCCTCGATCTCGCGGGCCTGCCGCTCAAGCAGACTCCGGATTCGCTCAGAGCGCCCTGTCTGCAGGGCCAGCAGCTCTTCTTCCACCTGGGGCACCCAGAACAGAGGTTAGGGGTTAGAGCGTCTGGGGCCAGGAGCCTGCCCTCCCTACCCATTCTGGAGGCTGACCCCCTTACCCGCTGCTCAAGCAATGCCCGCCTCAAAGCCACTCTCTGCTCCAGTTCCCGTAGCTCCCTCTCATGCTGACTCTCTGTGCGGATCTTGATCTTGCTCTGGTAAGCATTCAGTAGCTCCAGTTCTTGTTGAAGCTGCTGCCGAAGGGCCTGAAACTCAGCCTCTTGGGTCTCATCAAGCCGCAGCTGGAGGAGGAAGAACCAGTTTCAGGAATCTCCTCTTCTACCCCCACAATCCTCCCCTGCCCAAGGTAGGCCTGGGCCCTAAGGTTTCAAGAAGCAGCGGTCTCAACATCTATCATAATGGAAGATGGTCATACCCTGTGGCACAGCAATTACACTGCAGGAATCTATCCCCCAGGTATACTTGCACATGTGCTCGAGGTGTTCACGGAAGCGTTGTGATAGCAAAATACTGGAAACAACCTAAATGTCCACCAATAAGGGATGGGTTAAATAATTATGGTACAGCCATACTGTGGAAAATTCTATGCTGTAAAAAAAAAATGAGTTATGTGTACTGACATGAAAACATGTCCAAGAAATAGTAAGTGGAAAAAAGAAGTTAGAGAACAGTATGAAAGTATGATTCCATCTGTGGTTAAATTCTTCATACAATTTTTCAAATATGCATTGGAAAAAATCTAAAATACAGTTATTAACATTACCTCTGAGAGGTGGGACTGGGTGAGGAAATGGCCACAAATGGGGCGCTTTGACTTTTTACACCCTATATACATTTTAAGTGGCTCATTCCAGTGTTATGTGTGATCACTTTTTAGAAGCGCAACCTCCAAATTCCTCCAGAAGTCTGAGTAAATCAGGCCTGAGGGCCACACTTATTTTAATCTGCTACCTGTTCACACATTAAACTAACTCAGGCCCAGGAAAAAAATAATAGCCACACTTTTCGTTAGTGGTTCTTGGTAGAATAGGCAGGATGGCTTTGTCAAGACCTTAAGAAAATACTAAAAGAAATAATGAAACCATTGAGGAGCATACAAAGTAGTAAAATCATTGCAGAGAATTCTAATAGTGAGAGAGTATTTGAGTTTTCCAAGTCCTAGCTCTGTGCACCCACCCCCCCCCACCTTCCACTTAACTACACCAAAAATAGAGGCCAACCTCTACCATGCACCCTCCCTGGACCCCAGGCCTCACCGCCTGTGAGCTGAGCATCTCCGAGATGGACTGGTCATACTGCTCAGCCAAGATTGCCAGTTTGCGGGTCTGTTCTTCCTTGAGACGTTTAAGGAGGCTCTTATGTTGAGCTTTGGGCGTGGTTTCCAGCAAGTGTGCCCGCAGAGCCTTGTACTGCCGAGTCTGGATCTTACACGTCTCCTGGAACTGCTTCTTGATCTGCAGCTCCTTAGACTATGCAGTGGATGGATCAAGGGGAGACGGGGGCAGGGGAGAGGAGGAGAAGGAACAACCAGGGGAAAGGGGGAGAAGAGAGAGAAGAGAGGAGACAGAAGCAGAGACAGGGTGAGGGAGAGAAACAGAAAACATGTTAGACAGAGGGGGTGGGGGGAACTGTATACACACAGACATGGAAAGATGGGATCGTGATGAGAGAAATAAGGAATGGGCAAAAGATTGCAGAGAAGACAAAACAGGTTCCAAGAGCATGGCCAGAATTGGGTGGAATACCCAGGAGAAAGAACATCAGTGTTAATGAACAGGGAATAGAGAATCTTTAGAGTACTGAGTGCACAAAAGAAGCTTTGACCAGGCAAAGAGGGAGAAATTATGACCTAGAGATAGAAGCATGTGAGCAAATATAAGAATGTGCACAAGAAGGAATGAGAAGACCCAGTCACACAAAACACCCACAGAAGAAAGCAACATAACTAAGGACAGACAGAGGAAGTCCCAGGTCCAGCACCTCAGGGAGGAAAGTAAGGAAGAAGGATAAGCACCGAGCTAAGAAATGGATAAAAAGGGGCTGCCCCATTTTGGGCCACAGAAGGAAAAGGGGCAAAGGAGGTGACCAGAAAGGGTCTGACAAGTTCAATGGGCCAGCGGCTGCCACCCTGACCAGATCCACATTCCAACCCGGCCCCTTACACACTCAGCTCCCACTCCAAGCCCACAACCAATCCCATTTCCGCAGGCCCCACACTCTTCTCCTGGCCCTCCATTAAGCACCCCCTACTGTGGAGGGTTTGCAGTCCCACCCCCCAGCCCACTAGGGTAATACATGATGCAGGAAAACAATTCAGTTCCCAAAAAGGGAACCATGTAGGGAATGGGTTGGGAGAAAAAGCAGGAAATGAGGAGACCACAGGGCTTGGAACCTAAGGATCTCTCTGGAAGAATCCACAAACAGGGGGACTATAAGACCAAGAAGTTCTGTGGAAGCTCCACCCAGACCCCAGAGCTGATGGTGGTCATGGTGCAATGAAGGCAGAGAGGATGAGGCTAAGGAGTGAAAGGGGCTGAGATAACGAAGATGGGGTGAAGAGGTCATGGAGCTGGGGGCCAAGGGTCAGACTGGGGGCATACCGGGGAGGCTAGGCGGCAGGACAAAGCAGACAGAGGCAGCCTGGGCCAAAGGTATAGTTCCGCTCAGATATTTTATTTGTGTTTGTCTTTTTCTTTTTTTGGTGGGGGGGAGGGGACAGGTTGGAAGGGAGACAGAAAAACAAAATCAAAGAGGAGAAAAAACCATGATTTTTCCCACCCACCACCCCTCCCTGGCCCCAGGCCTGAGTCAATGAGGGTGAGGATGAGCACACACATAGTGGGAGAACAGCAATAACTTAGGGAGGAGGAGTGTCAGGAGAACACAAAGTTTAACTTCTGGACTCCATGGTGGAGGAGGCTGCCTGTCTAGAGTTCTGAAGGCCTAGGCTTAGGGTGAGGGAGCATACTGATGAAGGCGGGGTGAAAGGGACGAGAAGACTGGAGACTGGAGAAATTTCACTGAGTCTTGGGAAATAAAGTGCTCGATGCTCTAGATTTGGGCTGGGGAAGGGCTGGAGTTGGTTACCTCCAGGGAGGTAGGGTTCGGGATTGGCGGTTTCGAGATCTCCGCCCAGCTAAAGTTCCTGGCTGCGGCTGGCGGGAGGCAGGGGTCCCTAGCCGGCGCTGGTTGCGTGGCAGCAGCCGAGGGATACGGCTGGGCCGTTCACTCCGAAGTAGACCCCAGCTGACCAGTGTGTGGATGGCCCAGGGGGGCAAGCGGGACGCTAAACCCTGGCTGGCCCGTGCCAGGCGCCAGTTCCAGCCCTTGCACAGGGCCCAAACCCTTGCCAACAGGGCTAATGGGTTTTGGGTAGTGCGAGTATTACCCCGCCTGGGCCCAGGTACAGGTAGGCGGCTGCGGAAGCCATCCTTGTTGGTTTTGGGGTAGAGTGCAAACAGACCCCGGTCCCCCACAGCCCCACAGCCCTGTAGGGCTCGGAAGGCCATGGGTGACAGGCGCAGCAGAACGCGCAACCAGAGTCGAGAGATGCCCCGGCGCATCCGGGGGCCCTGCTGCCGCACCCATTTGCCCCCAGCTGCCATAGCCGCCAGAGGTAGAGCCAGGCTTGGCCAAGCTAGAAGCCAGGCAGCTCCAAGGCCCAAAGGCACACCCATAAGGCCTCGGCGCCAGCTCAGGCCCAGGACAGCGCCCAGGGCAGTACCCTGGGCCAGGAGTAGGAAAAGACTGGGGGGCAGGTGCAGAGCTGTACAAAGAAGCAGGTAGGAGGCCCCCAGGCCCACCAACCCCACTTCAAGGGCTAACAGTGCTGCCTGCAGGCCACCTCCACCTTGGGCTGCCAGCAGTGGGAGCAGCAGCAGCAGCAGAAGGGGCAGGAGGCCAGAGGAGGACCCCACTGCAAAGGAGAGGCCCGCCAGGAGGCCATGGGACAGGAGTCCAGGGAGTTGGCTAACAGGGCCAGGCCTCAGATGTGTTGGAGGGGGCTCAGGGGGGATGTCTGGGGAGGGACAGCCATCTCCAGGATCCCTAGGGGTCCCAATTGGAGCCCCTTCCTCCTCTTCCTCCTCCTCCTCAGGGACTGGAGTCAGTGCTGGGCCCTGGACCCAGCCAAGCTCAAATTCCTCATCCAAAAGGCTCCCATCCTCTTTCCCCCACAACTTCCACGTCTCAGCCTCCTCCTGGCCAACAATGCTCCTCTCCTGAGGTGCCAGGGATGGAACTCTAAGTTCCTCTATCTCCTCCTCAGGTAGACCCCAAACTTCCTCATCAACCAGATTCCCATGTTTTTGTGGACTGGGACTAGGAGCTCCTGATTCTGCCCCCAAAATCCTCTGCTCCTCTGGCTCCAAGATGGCCCCTTCCTTTCCCAGAATCCTTCTCTCTGGAACTGCTTCCTCCTCCTCTCCCAGCATTCTTTGGTCCAGGATTGCCTCCTGGCCAGATGAGCAGGGCTGCTCTTCTCTAGGGGTGCCTGTGCTGGGTAGTCCCAGAGCCCCAGGAATGGGGAGCGGGAGGCCCGGGGGGCGCTGGCCTGCACGTACTTTGAGGCTCTTGGGTTGCTGGCGAACCTGGGCCGCATGCTTCTGCCGCAACTCTTGCTCACGGCGCTTGTTGTACTCCAGCTGGTTGCCCAGCTCCGTCTGGTGCTGCAGGCGAGTGAGCTCAGCCCGTGTGCGTTGTACGGCCTGAAGCTGCCGCAGCTCCAGCTCCCGTGTGGCCTCATGCTGCCGAAGCAGCAACGCGCACTCCAAGTCCTTCTGAGTCTGTTTCTTGTTCAAGTCCTGAGGCAGAAGAGAAGCAGAGCCCAGGGCATGGTCAGGGAGCCTTGCTGGTATTAAGGAAGTGAGAGCCCAGGTCTCCTTGGCAGAGGAAGGTGGAGATGGAGTGGGGGTAGAAGATGAGGGGGTGTAAGGGAATCAAGCTCTTGGCTGGCCTAGGAACAGAAGCCTAAGGAAATTCTAGCAAGGTATGCTGGGGATGGGAGGCAAAAGGGGTATTGAAGAGAAGCTGAGGCACAACACAATGAGGGCAGAGGGGAAAGAACGTGAGGCAAATGGAAAAGGGTAGATGACTGGGATCTGTGACTGAGAAAGGAAGAACAGATGGGGTCGCCTACCTCTCGAAGCAGGTCCTGGTCTAGACTGTGCCGAGCCAGCAGCATTTTGCGCTTGTACTGGCGACACTGCAACTCGAAGTACTGGCGCTGCCGCCGCAGCAGCCCTGCCTCCTCCTCTGCCTGGCACTGCTGTAGCTGCTCCTTCTGCCGTAGAAGCCACTCAGCCTTCTCCCGCTTGGGTGTGCTAGGGTTCTCCTGAAGCTCCTGGGCGAGGGTAGTGGGGAACACAATCAGGGCCTGCCTTGCCGCCATCGGCCCCACCCCCATGGTAGCTCTAGCCCACCTCCTTTAACTGCTCCTTCCTAAGTTTGTAGGTCCGCTTCTGTGCCTCCAGCAGGGCAGCCAGCTCCTTCTTCTGCTGCCCAAGGATGTGCTGCTGGAACTTCCTCTCCTCAGCCTGGGCAGCTCGTGCCTCCTTCTCACCGATGGCCTGGTGCCGACGTGCCAGCTTTTCTGCCTCAGCACCAAAGCCGGCCCGCTGTGCCTCAAGCTCCCGCTGCAGCCGTGCACTATGCTCCTCACGTTCACCCCTCAGCCGCGACTCCAGGGCCAGCAGCTGCTTCTGGTGCTGTCGTCGCATCCGCTTATAGCCACTCAGTTGCTCCCGCAACGCTGAGTCCTGCTCATGTTCCTGGATCTGACGGCTGACCTGGACAGGAGAGAGGATGAGAAGTGGGGGCTCGACCCCAACTCTACTTTATTAACACAGATGGCCTTCATGCTTCATGGGGAAGAACATAGGTTTTAGACTCACAGGTTTCACTCTCACTTAATACCTTCCTCACATTTAACCTCTCTGGGTCCATTTTTTTTCTTTTTTTTTTTTTGAGTTGGAGCCTCACTCTGTCACCCAGACTGGAGCGCAGTGGCTGCTCCC